GTGAGTCTTAGGGTGTAGAGGGGACTTTTTTTATTTTTTTGGTGTGAATAAATGGGAGGAATTAAAGGTCTATTTATAGGTGTTTAAGGGTATGAAGATAGAGTTCAAGAGAGTGTAGGATTAGTATGAAAACAAGATTAGGTTAGTTAAATGAATTTGGATGCAGTTTGGCCTAGGTTAACTTATGTGAGAAATCAAATGAAAAAGATGAGAAGAGAAAATAGGATTAATATTGATTTGGTTGGAGGAGTAAGGATACAAATCAAAGTAATCAAGAAATTAACTGCTTAAAGGTTAAGAAATATGATATCATTCCCAGAAGATACGGCCAACAAGGGTATTTTTTTTTTTTTTTAAAGTTTATTTAACGAAAATCAGATTTTAATTAATAAAATGAATTATTTTGATAAAAATACAAATATATAAAATATTTTAGATAATATCAAAACTAAAAGTAGATGTACATCATAAGCTAATAATTAAAATTGCTGAATATTATTAATTAAGATAAAATCCGAAAAATAATATAGTTAGGTCCAAAAGTACGTACAACATAAATTTTGAAATTAATAAAATATGGACCGTCCAAGATTATTAATTGTTATTAATTTGGAAATACGAAAATAATTAAATGTTCAAATAATTAAATACTTATATTTTGGCTCCAAATTCAAATAATCAAAGGAATAATTAAGAAAGTATTTCTCAAAATTCGGGGTATTACAGATAACATAAGCATTAATTAGCTCAAATTAGTTTAACTAAGATTAGTTCAGATTTTATAGCATGAGATAAAATATTTTAAAATTCATGTAAAAAACACAAAAGCTAAGTGAAAGCTACTAAATGGGCGGATTTAGTCTCTTAACCTAATTCGTATTATTGAGTAACATCCTCAAATTACTCTTCAATAATAATGAATATAAAACCTGTTTAAAAGAGAAACTTGGAGATATTACTACCACGTGATTACGTAAGGATTTTCAAAACAAAGACTTGGAATGGAAGAAATTACATATTTAACTTTAATTTATGATGAATAATGAGAGTGAGAGATAGCTCAAGTGGTTAGAGCTCCCCTCCCGGTTCCAAGAGATCTTGGGATCGAATTTCATCACCCGCCCTTGTGGCTCTCCAAACACCAAAAATTTTTATAAAAAATAATAATATTCTTCAAAATCGATCACGTGAGAAACCTCAACCATGATATCTAAACTTGGTGATTATTGCCCTTCATCCCAATGAACACATGTAGATCACGTCGAGTGATCATCACCTATCTACTTATCATTTGGGTCAAGACAAAACAAAAGAGGAATACGCGTTAAAAAACGCTAAGTACATACCAATCTAGAGACATAAAATTAATTTATTTAATTAAACATGCTTTCACAAGATTAAGCATTTTTAAATAATAATTATTCAAACCTTCCATATTTAGAAATATTCCAAAAATCATAAACTTACCAAATTCAATGACTTTCCAAAAAAAAAAATAGATTTCAATAGAAATGGAAGATCAATCTTTTCGTAAATCATTTTTCCCAACCTAAGTGTGCACACCTTCCAAAAGCTAGTTTCTCATATACATAACTACTTATACTTCAAGAAAGACTAGATCATACAAAGTTTATAATCTTATCATTTATCTCCACATAGTGAGAGTCATAAAAATCAAGAATATTCGAAGCATGACTATCTTAAACATTTCAGAAATCCTGTTCTTTTTGTAAAAATGGAGTCCAGAAAAAAAAAATATTGAGATAAAATGTAATTTAAATAATAAAAAATTCTTTCTCATCAAAATAATACTGTACCTGATATTTTTTTCCCCTTGACAGCAAATTCAATTTAACTTTTTTTCCTCGACAAAAATTCAACGGATAATTTTTATGGCAAGAAAGAAATTGGCAAGAGTATACATTGGATGTAAAATTTTAACCGTTGAAATTGAAATTAAATGAGGAAAAAATGAATTTAATTCTTCCATTAAATAGTAAGATTGTAGAAATTAAATGATGGAAAATATGGAATGTTTAAGATTTTTGTGGGAATTGCAAAAATAAGAGAGCACTTAAAAAAGAAAGAATTAAAGGAAGTCAAAGATTTGGACTTTTGGAGTATTGAAAATAGAATCTTTGGTTAAAAACTATGAAGCTTAGAACATGAACAATGGGGAGGATACATATATTCTTTTCCATTTTCTCTCTCATTTTCTCCATTTGACGCATCACATTTTCTTTCTTCTGATCCACATCACTTCCCACTATCTCCATCCTTTTCCTCATCCTCTTTCTTTAATTTTTCCAACAACAATAAGGATCATTTCTTATTTTCTCTCTCCTATTTACATATACCCCACCATATATTCTCTCTCCCAATAACATAAATAATTATTCATAATAAGATTCATTTTTCTAAAAAAATAAATAATCAAAATTTTGGCACGAGAGCCGAGGATTAGTTTCCTCTTCAGAAAGTGGAATCTACCATTTCCTCTTCTTAATAGGATCCTTTTAGCTATTTGAGCATCAGTAAGGATCATTTTAGCCACCCATAAAGTAAGTTAAAAGGATATACTCCCTCAGTATTTATTACTTGCTCCACTTTTCTTTTGCGGCCGTATTTTATTACTTGCTCTATTTCCTTTTTTGGAAACATTACACAATATTTTACTAATTTCTTCTTTCCTAGTGGACCCCAAACTATCATATTACTGTTGATGTTGATGCCCTTATTACTATTGGTAGTTGTGAGGGTTGACTGTTTAAGGGGGAAGGGAAGGGTAAATTCTTCTTTTACGTTTTTTATTCTTAAAACAAATAAACAAATTTGGGCCTGTTGAGGGTAAAAATACCCCGCCATGTGGTCCAATCCTAAGGTGACACGAGGCCGAATAAAAGGGCAACATGTGGCAACATAAAAGCACCTGAAAGAGGAAAAGGCCACTATTACATCAAGAAGCCCAATTCCCGAGAAATACGCCATAACGGCACCCCCAAAGGACACGTGTCCTCTGCTGATTATGCCGCCAATCAGTGCCCTCCATTCTAGGTCACTAAAACCTAGGAGGGCATACATTCCCACTCATAAAAATACCCCAATCATTTATAATGGGAGGGGTGCATTGAGACATTGCATTCAAGGCATAATTTATTGATGATTGCTCTAACTTCTCTCTACTTTCTTTCTCTTAAATCCTTCGTTTTCCGATTACTAACTTAACTGTCGGAGACGAATATTCCGGTAACGAAATATTCATTGTTTTGTAGGTGTCTGTTGTTGTCATAGTGCTATTGAAGATCTGTATCCCGAGGGAATCTAAAAAAACCCCGAAACAAGGCCCCTATGGTTTTGGGGCCCTGTGCAGCAGGTTTGCTTGCACTGCCCCTGATTTGAAGAATGCCTTTAATAAATCAACCTTTTCATTTTCATGCATGTATGGGATTTCAAGAACATTTTTACTTTAAAGTGACTTGGAAATCAAGTATGTGTATAAGCAACCTTTTAGAACATTAAATTATTTTCAAATATCAAACAATGGAGTAATATTTATTGAAAACAGGCTCACATTATCTATATCATAAGCATTGAAACATTGTTCATTTACCATTCAATACATTTGCATATAAAATCATGTGTTTAAAGACCCACCCATGTATACATACCTTGATTTTTAAAAACAACTATTTCACCTACAATTACAATCACGAACGATCGATCTCCTAAACAAACATTATACGGAGTAATCTTAAAAACATTAAATATAAAAAATTAAAAAATATCATATATTGAAAATAGACATTTATTTTAGAAAAAAACCTCAAAATAATTTAAAGTAGCATGGCTGACGAGAAAGTCAGGTTCACGTTGGAAAGAAGGAGGCAGATCTTGCAGACGTTATATCTCATAATATATAACATCGAATTGGGTGATTTTTGAGCCTAATCTCAAGAATTTTTTCGAGAGGAATAACTTTGTCTCAAACAGCAGAAAGCTAAAAATGATCAAAAGTGAGTGAAAAATGGCTTGGAACATAAATGGGCTGAAATATTATTAAAAAGAGAAGAAAAAGAAGAAGACATGTGGCAGAGGTACTGCCACATGTGGCAGTAGAGGTAGCTGTGTTGGTGGTGCTCACGACCAAGGAAAGGGGAAGGAAGAAAAATGGAGCTTGAAACCAATGGAGGAAGAAGAGACTTTTAAGCTTTTGAGGTTGAATATGGATGAAATCTTGGGTGCTGTTTATAGACTTTGAAAACTCCATTAACATCATGTATGAGGAGTTTTGATTTATACTATCATATCATATAATATGTTGTTGGATTGGTTACAATGTATATTTTCATAATATTAACATCTTAGAATTTATACTAATAAACAATAAAAAATATTAATAATCAAAATTGTTATTCACTACAAATGACTCAAGCAAGTTATATTATTATCATATCATATCATATCACTAATAAATAAAACCGGTCTCATAGCCAGGTTACGAAACAGCGACTTGACATTCCAATTTTTTACCAAGTGTTGTGCCATGTAGGCAACAAATAGGTATATTGTGACACACAGATGCCAAGTAAACTATTTTTGGATATTCTTAAGATAAATATGTTGTATAGTGTTTATTATCACTATATTTCTAATATTTCATAAATACAAAATTAATCATAATGTTTGATAAATATCTTATAACTCGGTTTTATTTCCATCATAAAATTCGTTTCAAAAAGTTTTTTAAAATGAGATTTATTTATAATATATTTAATTTAGTTACAAAAAATAATAGAGAATCAGTAAAAATAATTTGGTTTGGTAATAATACTTTCAGTTCAGTAAAAATCATTTAAGTTCAATAACAGTAATTTCAAGTCAATAATAACATGGATATTTATTTACAAACAAAACTACAAAAAGTAAACTATTCTATAAATAAACGATATGATATCATATGTCTAAATATCTTGCATTATCAGAAGGGATTACATGACCGTATTAATGAACATTCAAGCTAAAAAATTTATCCTAAAATAGGAAATCCCAATAAATCTTCAAAAGACTAGAAGTTCCGATTTAAATAAATAAATAAATAAAAATAATAATTATTGAGTATGTCTATTTCACACCTACTATAAAAAATGATGTCTTGATCACAATAATAACAGCTAACCGTACAAAACTCTGCTGAGCTGCTGTCTCATGATTCCTGCAACCTCTTTCTCTCTCTTTCTCTCTCTTCATACATCTATATCTTTCTTACTATCAGTCCTTTAGGGTTTTTATCCTTACTAATCTAATCTCTCATTAATTTACTTCACTTCAACTTTCTAATTATAATATTTCTCACCAATTATATTCAATTATTCAAATAAATGGGAAGAATATTCGTGATTGAGCTTGAAGGCAGAACTTACAAATGCAAATTCTGTAAAACCCATCTTGCTCTTGCTGACGACCATATTTCCCGGGTAATTTTTCTTCAAGCTCGAGTATTTCTCTCAATTCATCTTTTTATTTTGTGTATTTTTAATTTTAATTTTCATCTCCCCTGTTTTTAATCTTTCTTTTTTTGTTATTTTTTTTGAAAGAGTTTTTAATCTTTCTTTGTTTCCTTATTAAGTGATTATTTTTTCTAGGTTTTAATAATTAGATCAATATTTGAATTTGGGGTGTTTTATTTTTACATTTTCTTTTCTAGGTATGAATCAGTTTTCCCAAATGTGATGTTATTATTGGGTTCTGTGATCCTTCAAATATAATCTATAATTTTGTATATATTTCTGTGCTTGTAGTAGTAATCTGAATCAGGGAAAGACTTGGGGTTGGAGATTTTTAATGTTTCGATATACAGTATTATGGACTTCGTTCTGTTAAAACCAGTGATCACGTTGATGGTGTAATTTGAACTAAATCCGGACTGATGTCGTATGTTACAATTTTTGTTGTTATGCTACAACAAAAGGTGTCATGGTACAACCAATGCTATTTTTTTCGAGCTTGCTCGAGTAAATGAGAAAAAAGAAATTTAATTTGGTCGTGTCATTGGTTGTACCATGGACATTCTGGTAAGTATATTATTTGTCAATAACAACTAAATAAGGCAACTAATTATACTTGGATTGTGTTATCTTTAGATTCAAATGCATTGTTGTTTTTTTAAATTAGAAGTATTGTTTAGTTTTTGAGTAGTAATTTAGTCTCTAAATGTTGTTCTTGCTTTTGATTGTGTCAAAAAAAAAGTCAAAGTAGAACAACAATTCGTGACGAAGGGAGTAGCTAACAAGGGACAGAGAGAGTAGTAATTTATGTTGCTAGTGATGACTATTCTAACTTGCCTTACTCTCATGACTTCTCTAGACTTTTCATTGTCGCAGAGGGAAAGCATATCTGTTCAAAAATACGTGAGTTTCTTTCCTTTTTCTTTTCGCTCTGTATGAACTCATCATGAACTCCCATTTTCAATTTATCTTAATTTGTACTTGAGAATTCATTTTATTGTTCAAAATTTATATGCATAATGGTTGTTCATTATCTCCAAAATTTAGATTTTTTTTTTAACCAAAGAATGTATTGTTGGACAACAATCTTCATAATTACACCTCTGTACCATCATACCATGCACCCAAGACTCATGGCACACCCGAATACATTTTGGACACTAGCGAATTTACACTTGAGTTTTTATGAGGAGCAATATCATTAGATTGCATTCCTCGAGCCTAGGTTACGGCTTATGACTCTGTGTTTTATTGCCTCAGCCCATCATATACCTTGATCCCATAGGACATCTTATTGTTTTGAAGTTGATGACTTACCAATTTACATGCTTTATTTTTATTCTTGTTTATGTGACTATATTTTTCTTAATCAGATTCCAGTCTCGTTAAAACCTTTACCACAGACATGAACTTTGAATTTGTACTTCCGTAGCACTACATTATTTGTAAAATAATTAGCTCTGATGAAATTAATCCTTAAAGCAGTGAAATTATTTTATGGATCAACTAGGTGATTTTCTACTATCTTAATTTTATCACTAGGAACCTTATGATTTGGACCACGAAGTTGTCTTTTCTTGTTCTATGCAAAGAGGAAGAAAGTGTATCATCATTAAAAGAGTTCAAATGTTCAATATTACCTTTAGCCATTTTAGGTAGTGTTGCTATACAATACATGATCCTCTATTGGCTTAGAGATACACATATTGAATATTTAAGCCTTGTAGATTGCTGTTTTATTCCTCCACTGATATTTCGAACCTTTGAAATTTCAATGAGAGGAAAGCTAAGGTTCAATTGAAGTTCGTGGTGGAAACTTTCAACATTGGCATCTGCTATCATTATCAGCGTCTTTATAGTCAAAGAGCTGGTAAATTTTCAATTTTAAAGTGAAGGTGTGTGCATATTGGAGTTGTTTGTTATGGAAAGTTGGAAAGGTTATGTCTATAATCAACGAAAATGACTTTAAGAGTTACAAATATATTTAGCCAACAATAAGTGAGCCATGTGATTCTTTGTACTTTATAATGCTCTATGTATGTTATTGTTTATCCTTCTGACCTTGGATGGGTTGTCTCGATCACTGACATTATGCATTATTGATCAATGAATACAATCTCATTGGAATTAAATTCAAATAACTTCTATTTCAGGGTAAATATAATCCTAGGAGCTTCAGAAGAAAGGCTGATGCTTTCTGGGATGCATACTGTTGCAGATATATTTTGCTGCTGCTGTGGACAGATTGTTGGATGGAAATATGTACTGTTCTATCTTTTGCTTTCCTTCCCCCTCCCTTCCTACCCTGCTCAAGATTCTTGGCAATGAAACACTTGGAGCTTGACTATTCTGTCTCATTTCATCTTGTGGCTTTCAATTAGCAGTGGCCTGCTCACATGCTAAACTAAATATTCCTATGGTGATTTTAGTGTAAATGGTGTAGAAAAGTTGTCTGGAAAGCATCATTTAAGCCAGAATAATCATTGTCAAAGATGAACGTCTAGTTGTCTACAGCCTATATGTCTGTTACTTCGCTGCCTACCATTGGAACACTATGAGCTTGACTATGTCTATTGACTTCAATTTGCTTCACTTCACATATTCACTAAAGCTAATTATGTGGTTTCAATTGGTTTTATCTGAGAGCCCATCATTGAGAGTCACCTTTGTTGTTTTCCATTGTCAGTGTGGCTCAGTTGTAACCGAAAACTTGCAATCTGATTGTTGTGAAGTTATTGCTGGCTTAGATGGTGAAGTTGTTTGTTGTGTACCAGGGATGTTCAAAGCTTATGTGTTTCTATCAGCCTTTTGCTACCTTTACATCTCAGGAGAAAAAAGAAATAGAAAAATAGCTGGCCCTGTTGGCTACTGTTAATTGTGTCCTGACTCCTGATGTTGACCTGGTGGCTTGACTTCTTCTAGTCAGGGGAATTGTAAATTATGATTTCATTGTTAACCATTTTCGTTGCCATTTTTACACGGTGTCATTTAAAAATTTTAAAGTGTGAAAATTATGACGAATATTTCATTTAAATATTAAATGATTAGGCTATTGGGATTGATTGGTTTACAGTACTGTAATACTTCGTATTTAATTGTTCATCTGATTGCGACAAGCCGAATAGTGACACCTATTTTTACTTGATCATACATTTAAAAGTCTAGCTTATTTTTCTGTATGGGTAGTCTAAAGTTGGTTTCTATGGTTTTGACCTTATTGATCCACCTATACTGAATTTCATGTTTTCAATCCAGGAAGCAGCTCGTGAGAAAAGCCAGAAATACAAAGAAGGGAAATTTATCCTTGAAAGGTAATTTACTCTCCTTTTTCTTTGGATAATATACAGAGACATGGGCTCTTTATGCCCCTCTCAATTACTGCAACTTTTTTTAAATTTTTATTCTACGTTAGTCAAGTAAAATGTTCAGCCTACTATGTCAATTATACTTGTATACAGAGGCAGGATTATTGATGGATTCGACTCTGAGTTTTAAATTGATGCCAGTTTGATGAGTGATGCTGAGGATGTTTAGATATTTCGCCATATGTAAGATGTGCTCTATGTTGTAAGTGGAAAACTTGTTTTGGCGTCTATGTTTGTATGAATAGATTCGGTAAACCATACCTGTATATATGAGCATGACAATTCCTGCTGGGTGTAATCACTGAGTTCTGTGATTGGCATGAATTTTACTCCCCATGTTTTCTGATTGATTATTATTTTATTATCTATTTTTTTAAATTTTAATATAGTCTATACATGAATACTTAGAGGGGTTGGAGCTATTAGAGATGGTGAATTGAATATACTTAGTATTCATCGAACATATAAGTTATTGTAGTCTACAGTAGTGAATAAGATCTTGTAGCTTAAATTTTTCTTAGCTAACTAGATAACAGGCAAGTCATGAAGTAGGAAGACACCTAAAATCATTTTCAAAACTTGGAAAAGGGAAATGTACTTGTCTTTTGTTTGATAGTAAAAGTATAGCGCTCTTATTTTTCCTTATACAATTAAAACCGAAAAATATGCCTTGAATGTGGATGGGGAGAGGAGAGGCATCTGCCAAGAACACAGCTGGTGGAGTGATGGTGGAGCATTAGGAATGAGGACTGGCTATTCGACCATCTGGAGGCTGCCTGCTGCTTGTTGCTTGGTGGGTCAAGGCGAATTTCGACACTGAAGTGCTGGTAGAAGTTGGCTCGGGTGTGGGTATAACAGTGGCAGTGGGGTGTGGTCTTGTGCCACTGTCCAATTTTGGGAGCTGTAGGAGCCAAGAGTTATGAAAGCCTAGGCGGTTTTTTTGAGGTTGAAGATATGAACTCATTAAAGAGGAGTTAAGTACAAGATTAGGGTCTAAGTTTTTACATTTTTCACCTTTTGGGACCTCAATGTTTTTTTTTTCACCTTCTGGGACCTGTAGTTAACAATCCGGCTAGTTAACCCCTTTAACTCACCTTAAAAAAAAAAAAAAAAAAAAAAAAAAAAACTTAGTCCCTTCAGAAATTCTGTCAACACTAAAAAAACATAGGTCCTTAAATCTAATCTCATCCAAAATTACTGAAGGAAATTAACTAAATTTTTTTTAAACTGATACATATCCAAAAACTAGCCATATTTTTTAAAAATAGACTAATACTCGTAATACTTCTACTCTAAAAATAATTGTTTTATGATAAAATTGATTGTTCTATTTTAATTAGAACTAACAATCGTGTTGTGTTTGTCTTCATATTTGTGTTGGAAACTAAACAAGTTGGGGAACCTCAACACTAACCCGACCCATTTAATATATGTGTCGTGTCGTGTCGTGTTTGACCCGTTTAATTAACCTTGTTAGAAATCTTTGACATTAACTTGTATTTTTCGTGTTCGGCTCGTGTCGTGTTATATGAAAAATTATTAGTCGCATGCGATATATTAATCAATAATTCCATAAAGCATTGGGATTTTTTCTTAGATGGATTAAGTCGTGTTAATTTCGTGTTGGGAATCTCAACACTAACCCGACTTGTTTAATTAAATGGGTTAAGTTTAATTAAATGTGTCGTACCATGTTGACTGGTTAATTAAACATGTTTACAACTCTTAACACTAACCTGACTTTTTTTGTGTCTGGTTTGTCTCTTGTCGGCTTCTGTCAGCTCTAATTATAATCACCAAACATTAATTAAATTAGTGGGTAATCGAAAATGTGTTGGATTAATACAACTTTTTTTTTTGGAAGAATAATACAACTATATATTCATGGTGTATAAATCTATTATTATTGCCAAAAAAAATAAAAAAAATAAAAATAAAACAAAACAAAACGGGAAAGAAAAATAAAATAGAACAGTTGATTGCATAAAAAGATTATAACTTACCTGGGTTTGGGATTGAATTACTAGAGGATTTTTTTTTTTTTTTTTTTTTTGCTACTTTTTAGGGGATTAAGTTTTTTTAATCCAAGGGACTATCTTTTTAACTCAACCCAATTAAATATTAGCCGGAAAGTACACATGAAGTCCCAAACGGTGAAAAAAAATAAGTGAGGTCCCAAAAGGTGACAAACTTAAAAACATAGACCCCAATCTTATACTTAACTCCATTAAAGAGAGATTAAAACTAAATGCAAGAGCAAGTCGCATATACTTGGCTGCATGTTTGTGCAACTAGAATAGATGCAACACCCCTTAAACGCAACTTCTAGTGCATGAAACGCGACCCACTTCTTTCTTCTTTCTATTACTGTTATTCCTGTGATTCTTCTTTCCTTTTTAAAATGTTTTGTTTCCCTTTTTTAAAATTCTCTCTCTTCAATTTTTATTCCTATTATAATTTTGATCAAAATTTTCATCAAAATTTTCTTTGATTTCTATACTTTCACTTTCATAAACACTTTCTCTCTCCTCTGTTTTTTTTTATTTTTATCTTCCATTGATTTCGTGAAATTGAAATGATGAATTTCATTGTCATTATCGAAGAGATCAATGTAGGTTAGTTTCTATGAATTTGTTGTGATGGATATCAATTACATTGATGAATTTGGGATTAATTTGCGATGAATTTGATTATTTAAATATTGATTCAATTATTGAATCTGTGATGAATGTCATTTGATTATGTGAAAATTAGGTTTCATTTGTAATCGATATTATTGCAGAAATTGTGATCAATGAATTTGTGATGAATTATTGAATTGCTGCATCTTAAATTTGTTTGTAATTGCGATTTTTGATTTTTTTTTAATTAAGTTGCTAATATTTGTGTATAATATTTGGAAAAAAAATGAACACGATGAACTTTAAAAGTGAACATTTAGCACAAAATGAACATTTAGTACATAAAAATTAAAACATGCGCATTATAAGTGTTAAAAATATGAATATATGCATTTTAGAAAATGAACATACGCATTCAAAATATGAACATATGCATTGGTTCTCGAAAAGTGAACATATGCATTTCAGAAAGTGAACCTGTGTATATAATATATATGAACATATGCATTTAAGAAAATGAACCTAAATATTCAAAATATGAACATATGCATTAGGTCTCTGAAAGTGAACATATGCATTTAAAAAGTGACACATATGCATAAAAAATATGAATATATGCATTTCAGAAAGTGAACATAAAATATGAACATATTTTATAAACATTAATACTTAAGAATATTTATCATATGAACAACAAATATTTATATTATGAACATTTCAAAACATTATGTGAACTATAAGGTATCTAAATAATGAACATGCACTAATATAGGCTAAACTGGGGCTTGCCCTTCGTCTCCACCAAAAAAAAAAAAAAAAAGAAAAAAAAGAACTAATATAGGCTAAACGGGCCATTTTTTTTTTTAAAAAAAACATTATTTTAAAAAAATATGGTGGTTGGGAAGTGACGGTTTTCTGTAAAGTTTCAAAACATAAGGTATTGAAATTATTTAGAAGGAGAGAGAATGGACTTTGTTTGATTGTTAGAGAGAGAAAATCACAAGGAGAAAAAATTGAATTCAGAAATTTAATTTTGAAATGATTAAACTGTTTTTTTTTTAAAAAAAAATTAATTATATTTTTAAAAAAATATGGCAATTGGAAATGGTTTTTCTGTAATATTTGTGTGGATGGGCCGCATTTTTGTTTGGGTCGCGTTTGCAATTGGGCACGTTTGCAATTGGGCTTCTACAATGAGCTGGTGTTGCATATATTGTAGCAGCTTAAGGGTGCAGCTTAGACTAATTGGGAGCAAGTCGTTAAGACAACTCTGACTTTAGGGCCTTTAGTTTTGAAGTTAGATTTCGTGGGCCTAGCCCAAGTGGTATACTTAATCCTAAAACACGAATGTGTGAGGGTAATTAGAGTCATTTTTCCCTAATTGATTTATTCACCATTTCACACAATAAAAATCGATTAGGAAAGTGATTAGACTCATACGGTAGAAACAATCTCATTTCCTCAAATTCTTTTTTCCTCAATAATAACTTTTTATATTATTTGACAAGATCAATTATAATCTTGGAAGTATTTACTAAAATGGTTAGTTGTAAATTTTAATTCCAAAACTAGCTAAAATGTTGACTTGGAAGAAAATTATTTATTTCTTATTTTCCTTTGAACCAGTTTGGTTCACTTGTATTTATTTTTATTTATTTATGTATTTTTAGGTTTATTTTAATTTATTTTTTGGGTTTTTTATAGTTAGAAAATTTAAAAGCTATATACAGATATACATAAAGTCGCTCATAAGAACCCTAATTTCAAGATCACACACACACACACACACACAAAAAAAAAACCAATTTTTTTTTTTTTTTTTTTTTTTTTTTTTGTCTTGATCATATCATAAAAAATTGGAATTTGAAGCAGTATTGTTCTATCAACACAACCACAAATTTATACAACAATAAGGGATTTTAAGGTATTGTTCATCTTTTTCATGTTCACTAATTGTATGCTCTTTGCTAATGTCGGCTGATTTTTGTTAATTGGAAGTTTGGAACAATTTTTTGAGTATTTTTTTATTTTTTATTTTGTGTAACTTTATAAAAATTTGAGAATTGTTGCAAATACATTATATTGAATGTTATTTCACAAATTAATGGATATTTTAAAGGCTAAATTAGAAAAAAAACACCTGTTAAAAGACCTAATTTTGTTTTTAACACCTTAAGATTTCGAAGTTTAATTATAACACCTGTTAAAAAATAAAAATTTTGCTTTCACCAGCTAAATTGGAACAACGTTAGAGGATCTGTTAGCTGGGCCCACAATAACGGCTATTTTTTCCAAACTGCTTTATATAGTTACGACATCCTTCACTAATGTAGAATTGTTGAGCTGATTACACAAAATTGCTTCACATTTTGCGAATTCTGACTAACAAATTGGCGAAATTGTTTGATTTTACCATCATTGTTTGGGGGACGTAGATATCAAATCAGGTAATTGCGTCAATAGCACTTTAGAACCCCTAATTTATCTTTCAAAAATAAGGCGTAAATTAATCTATATGTTGTTGACTTAAATGCATAATTCAGGTCGTATCTGGCAATAGTCATGTAATTCGTAAATAGTTAGGGTTCATTGTGTGTTAATTGTGCTGTAATTTGCGAGAAAATGAAATTAGGGTTCATTGTAGAAATAATTTGGGGGTTTTGATTTGTAGGAGTGACTGTTTAATTCCCTTGGTTCAATTGTATTTTTTTCATAGTACGAATGGTTTTGCTTATTATGGATGGCAAATTGGTGCAGGAAATGTCTTCTACAAGTTTCTCACCTTCAAAGGAGAAGAAGTGCAAATGTGGTGTTCCCTTTGCAAAGCTTACCAGTTGGACAAGGGAGAACCCTGGTCGTAAGTTCAGAACATGCAAGTTCTACGATCCTGTAACTGAGAGCAGAGGTTGTAAAGCATTTGAATGGGTGGATGAACAAGATGGGACAGCCTGGCAAACAGAGGTGATCAACAATTTGTTGTTAGATAAGAAACTGTTGAAGGGGGAAATTAGTGATTACAAGAGGGAAGTTGATGATCTTGGTGGACAGTTGAGGTGTTTGCTGAATGAAGTGGACAGGCTGAAAATGAAATGCAAGGCTTTAAACTCTGACAGGAACAAGATGAACAGAGAGATGCATGGAAGGAATGCTAGATCAGATCACTCTGTTCTTAGTCTTGCTGTTGGGATTAGTTTGGTCATATTAGTGATCCTTCTTATTAGGGGGTTTGTAATGCATTAAGTATAACTTGTAATGCTAGTAATTGCATGAAACAGTAATATGGTAATGTAATGATTTATAAGTGGCAGTGAACCACTATTGCAAGCAAACTAATGTACACAATTATGAAAGCAATGAATTAAGTAAGTACCTAAGTAGTTGATATTGCATTTAAGTTGTTGATCAAATTTGTTGTTGCAGTGCCTAACAAAATCGGCTGGTAAAGCCTTAAAGCAAAGTATTAATTTAACAAAACAGGATCCTTGTCCTAAACCCAAAAGTAAAGCTACAAATATTGCAACTGATTGTTCAGAAAATACAATCAACAACTAAAGTTCAGAAAAACAATTCAAACATCATTGTGTCAGCCCTCCTTGTCTGGAAGTCAGCAGCTTAGCCCTCCTTGTCTGCACTCCAGTAGCATTGGGTTCAGGTTGGCTGGAAGAGGGGGTGGTGTGATGCTTGGCTTGTGGCTGCCCTTGTTGACTGTGTGAACCTTTCCTCTTACTCAATGGTTCACAGCCAGGTTGCTCTTGGGGAAAAGTCCTATTCCCAATGATGTTTGGACCAGCCCCTATTGCACTCTGTTTATTAAACACAAACACCAATAAACAAGTATCAACATCCAATTTCATCACAAATTTTAAAAGAAAAGTTACAAATCCAACAACATACCTTCTTAGCAGCTTTGATCTCCCTCTTCTTCCTTTGCTCAACTACCCAAGGTGAATTTAAAAAGGAGGCCTTCCTGCAGTTCTCTGCTCAGTTGGTTCAGGTTCATGTGGGCCCTTGCAAGTCTTGGGATAGTGGCCAAATCCACCACAAATCCTACACTGACTTTTCCTCCTCTTTTTCCCTGCTCCCCTCCTGTTGCAGATGTTCCCTCCCCAGGTTCCAGCTTCCTCTTCTTCTGTTTAGGTCTTCCAGGCTGCTGTTTGAATGCTGGTGGATGAGGCTCTCTCATGTTCACTCTCTCCCAATGCTTTGGGCTTGGCATAGGTTGAATTGCAGGCTCATATGCTGCTCTGTAAGTGTCCATAGTGTAATAGGGGTGGACAAACTGCTCAGCATCAACCCTCTGATCCATTATGCATGCAAATGCATGAATACATGGGATGCCTGTTAATTGCCAGTGATTGCAGGAACAAGACCAATTTGGCAAGTCAACTAGAACCTGGTCATCATTCAGCTGCACTTCATAAGTGTCATCCCTGGCAGCTTCAATTATGCAATTCCTAGCCACATAGCTCATCCTCTGAAATAGCTTATGCACATATGGAGTGATGTTGGTTGTGATTTCCTTGGAGTCCTCCCACTTCTCATTATTTCTCCTCATCATGTACCTCCTCATCCATTCCATTTGGGTGAGGATAGGTTTGTCTCTTGCATCTCTGATAACAGAGTTGAAAGTCTCACACATGTTGTTTAGTAACATGTTGGACCTGCAACTGTCACTGAATGCATGTCTGCACCAGTGATGAGTGGGGATGTTCTCCAAATAATTGTAAGCATCCTCATCAAGCTCCCTAATCTGTTGCATGGCTATCTGAAACTCAACCTACAACCACAACAGGAACATTATCATGAAAGAATAACATACACAACTGTTGTTGCTCTTATTTTGCTTTTATACACAACAGGAACATTATTACATGAAGTAGGTACATGAACAGGAACAATATCATGCATTTACTTATTCAAAATAATTTAAGGTCACCTAGAGACTTACAAATGTTGTTGCTCTTGTAGCACTCCAAAAGAGCTCTTTGAAAACTGATCCAGTGAACTTCAACTTGAAATTTGCCCAAATGTGCCTAACACAGAACCTAGTCTCAGCATTAGGCACAACTTCAGACAGAGCTTCAACCAGTCCCTGTTTAACATCATCAACAATTACTTGTCACACTTCAAACAATAAAGAACAGGACAGAAAATAAGACTACAATAATCAAAACAATATTACCTTCTGCCTGTCTGACATGAAGGTGAAGCCTGCCCCATCTGCACTTCCAATGCATTGCATCAAGGATTCCAGAAACCAGACCCAAGTCTCCCTGTTTTCAACCTCACAAGTTGCCCAAGAAATGGGGTAAATGCTGTTGTTCCCATCCTTGGAGACTGCAACTAAAATCTGGCCTGGATAACCTCCTTTCAAGTGGCAGCCATCCACCCCTATAATTGGCCTACAACCCTTCAAGAACCCATCCTTCAAAGGCCTTAAACAAATAAACATCCTCATAAACAAGGGAGGCTCAGGCTTTTCAATGCCATCAATCACAACATTACAACCAGACCCAGGGTTGTATTTCATTACAGCCTTCCCATAATCCCATACCCTAGCATATTGCTCTCTTGCTGAACCAAAAATGATCAACTTAGCTCTACATCTTGCCATCCAAGCCCTGTAGTAGGTCACTTCTACCCCCAAGTCATGAAGCACCCTATCCTTGATTTGCTTAACCTTCCATGATGGGTTAGTTCTGAACTCCTCAAGATACCTCTCAACAATGAACTCTGCTGTGACCTTCTTGTTCTCCCTGCTTCTCACACATTTATGCTCCAACTTCATGGTTTTTATTTGCCAAGTCTGTTGTCTTTTTAACTTAGTAGCATGGATCTTGAAACTACACTTCACTCCACCCCTGCATATACACAAAGGCATCCTACTTGTCTTTGTGTCAAACTTGCACCCACACCTATTCCTACACTGAATAGTAATCCTAGTACTATCATTGTGTAAAAAATAGTACTCATACCTATTCTGTATGGCATGCACTCTTAAAGCTTTCCTCAACACTGTAGCATTGCTAAACCTAAGCCTATGAACAAGTACAACAGGCTTTGAGAAGTCAGATTTGTCATTAAACCATGGACTTTTGTCCTCTTCATCAGATGAACCATCCAAGCTCCTTAGGTCATCTGATTCTCCCTCAATTTCTTCTTGTAGTTGTACCTCATTCACATCCAAGTTATCTGTCAACCTTGCCTTTGGATCCTTGGAAACCCCCTCATCATGTACATCAAACTGCTTCCCAAGACTTCTTGTTACCTTAGCTAAAATTTCTTCAGAATTCTGCACAAACCACCTCTCATCCCCACTGTCATACTCCTCCTCTCCAGGCTCCCAAGTTATGTCAATATCACTCCCATCACTTGAAGAAAAATCATCTTCCCTCCCAGTCTCACTGCCCTCACTACTATCCTCAAAAATCAATCCTTTGCATACAGATTTTTTTTCCCTTTCCCTTATCCAACACCTTCACACTGCCAGAACCCCTTTCAAGCTTAGCTTTACCCTTTTGTTTCCCCTTACTCAACAACTTCCCTTTACCAGGAACCCCCTTAATCTCAGCAGAAACCCCTTCAACCCTTTCTATCCCCTGTCTAGATCTAGGTTTAGGAGATTCTTCACCCTCCCTCACCTTAGGCTCATTTTTGTTAATTCTTGGGCTCTTCCTAACTACAGCAGGCTTACCTGAACTTTTCTTCCCCTTTCTCTCAGCCTTTACTGGAGTGGACTGGGCCTGGATCTCATGTATGGGCCTTAATGTTTCATTAGCAGTCACAAATACTTCAACATACCCTTCCCCATTCACTGTCTCCAGCAGCCCCTTCACTTCCTCTTCATTTACAACTCCCTTCTCCCTGTGTTAAAGGTCCTACCTCTTTCTTTATACCAAAGTCTGTAGTTAGGTGGGACATGGACATTAAAGTTCACAAACCCATGCACAGCAGCTACCCTCAAATAATGCAAATCTATCTTATCCACTACCACATCCCTCCTCCAATAACATAACCCACCACACCAACAAAGCAAATGCTTTGATTTTGACACTTGTTTAGTAACAAAAGCACCCCCTACTCTAAATACTATATCAATTAATCCATCTTCGTTGTCGGCCATTTTTCTACCTAATAAACAAATGCAAAGCAAATCAATAAAACCCAACATAGCTAACCCCATTACACAGTCAACCGCAATACTTTAATCAACAAAATCAAACATATTTAAACCAACACAATGACAAACCAGTCAACAGTCAATAAAATCAATGATTTAAACTAAATAATTCACACATTACACCAAATCATACTTAATTTAATCAAATTCAACTTTAATTACAAATTAACCCATTTTACTGTTCTTAGGGTTCCTAATTTTTTTTCCCAAATTACCCTACTACACCCACACAAATGGCATAATGCAGCACACAGTACTTGTTGAAAACTACTTTAAAGGGTTCGAAAGGTACCTGTATTGGAATCTTACTCCTGTTGCTGTCAGAATCCACGAAAAAGTCCAAGCTTTTTGGATGTTGGAAATGGCTGACGGAATCTCGCTGACTTGTTTCGCTCCAATATTGACACATCCTCTTCCAACTCAATTTCTCAATCACAACAATCAGTATAGGGTTTGAATGTTCGCAGTAATTTTGGTTGTTCAAGATTTGCAGACGATATTCAATGAAGCAAAATTAGTTGGGTGGTAATAAATGACAGAGAAGATAAATTCGAATTGAAGGGGATGGAATTTGGAGGGTAAACGACTATGTGGGCCCCACCAAAAAATTCCGTCACAGTTTCTGTTATCTGGTGGTGAAAGCAAAATTTTTATTTTTTAACAGGTGTTATAATTAAACTTCGAAATCTTAAGGTGTTAAAAACAAAAATAGGTCTTTTAACAGGTGTTATTTTCTAATTTAGCCTATTTTAAACTATGGTTTTAAAATTTTCCCAAAAAAAAAATAAAAAAATAAAATAAAATAAAATAAAATAAAATAAAAAACAGGCCATATACTACGTGGAATGTGGGCAAATCGGAATTTAAAAGCCATTTACTACGTGTAAAATTACTGGCCTTTAAATTTTCCAACTAAAAAAAAAAGCAAAATTTAAAAACAAACCCAAAAAAAAAAACCAAATAAAAAAAAAAACTCCCAGAAAAATGAACCTTTTCGGTTCAAAGGAAAATAAGAAATAAATAATTTCCTTCCAAGTCAATTGTTTAGCTAGTTTTGGAATTAAAATTTACAATTAGCCGTTTTGGAAAATACTTTTGTTAAATTAGCCATTTTGGTAAAAGATACAATTGTTGGTTTTTACAATCTTACCGCATGGTTAATACGAAGTATAACTAAGGGCTAAGGCCCTGTTTAGTTCACCTTATTTATGCTTATATGAACTTATCTGATTTGGTCTGATCTGAACTGATCTTATTTGATATGGTCTAATCTGATCTGATCTTATTGTCTGATTTGACCAAATTTTGACCTTAAGTGTACGATAATATGTAAGAAAAAAATATATCAAGTGGGATCTTGTTAAATTCGTAATAATGTGTGTTTGGGGTAAAAATACCCCTGACAAATGGACCTTTTGCTAATGCAGCACGTGTCCCTAAGCTCAGTGCTCAATGAGCCAATTAGAGCATGACATGTGTCATTCAAAGGGGAAAACGGGCTTCAAGCCCATAACCCTAGAAACCGTAAAACGGTGGAAGCCCATCAAATTAAGTTAAATAACCCAAGAGGCACCTGTCCCAAAGACTCTATAAATACTGATCATTTACATCAGTTGAGGGAGGAACTCAATTGAATACACATTCAATCCTAACAAATCAGAGGGCTAAAAGCTCAGATATTGAGGTTGTCTCAGACAGCCGGATGATCACTCCTCTCCTAAGAGGAGCCTGATCCCATTTACATTCCGCACTTATTACATCCGTACACGTTCTAACTTGATCGTCGGAGGCGGAGCTCCCACCCCTGGGGGTCTCCGTTGTTTTGCAGGTACAGGTGTTCGGAGGCCAGTCTTGGTGTTGTAACTCTCCCGCAGGACACTCAAAAAACCCCGAAATAATGTGTATTTTATTAATATGTAATTTTCATAATTTTTTTTATTACGAAATTAAAGATATTTAGCGATGAAAAATTGCATATAAAACGATGATCTGATCTGATCTGAAATAAGTAAAAATAAGTTGAACTAAACAAGTCCTAAGTTATTATTTCCTCCCATTCCTTTAAATTGTGCAATTGACTCATTTAGTAGGAGAATAGAGTTGATACTGATCGGCATAAAATAAAAATAAAAATAGATTAATCATTCACTGGAAAGAAACAAAACAAGTAAATAATAAACATAGATTTTTTTTTTTTTTTTTTGTTGTCTCTATTTATAACTTTGTCATGTTAGGCAAAATACAAATACTCCCTATGGCCTTATTTCTTTTTTTCCTATTTGACTGTTTACGGTTTCAAAGATACGCCTTAAAATATATGGAGTAAATATCTCCAATTTCATACGCGCAAATATTATAAAATATTGATTTTAAATAACACGTAATAAATCCAACTAGATCCCTTTTGACCATATTATTTCAGATAGATTAATGACGATTTTGTTTCTTGTACAAAACCCAGTTTTTTTTTTATTGAAATTACCTTCACAAAAAACTTTTCAGATTGATCTCGTTTCCTTCTATCTTTTATATTTAGAGTTTTGATCAAAAATTTTAAAATTTAAGCCCAAAAAACACATGAAAATTCTAATGTAATAGTATGATTTTGACTACCATAATTTTTTAAGAAATGGACGGTTGAGATTATTATTTTTTTTATTTTTAATTAAAAATTATTTTTTAATTTATACATTTTTTTATTTCCAGAATTTTGAAAATATTAAAAAATAATTTCTAAAAGATAAAAATATATTTAAAATAATTAAAAAATTATTTTTAATTAAAATTACTAATTAAAAATAAATAAAAAAACAAATAATCTCAGCTGTCTATTTTAGAAAATTATAATAGTAAAAAATCATAAGACTACATTAGAATAAAATAAAAACAGAGAGAGTACATAACAACCATGCATTACCGCGGATGTAAATCATACAAATCACCAAACTAAAGATACCTAAGAATATGCACAATACCGACATAGTACAATAGAAATAGAAGAATCGATGAAACTCGCACGAAAGAAAACGGTGAAGACGGCACACAATGAATAATAATAGTAGTCAAAAGAAGAGGGACCCTTCGCAATTATAGAAGGGTTGTGTGAGGTGAGTATGTTCCCCATCTCCAATGCCGTGGCAACACTAGAAGATTACTCCCTCTGTCTCTTAATTTTTGCCCTAATTTCATTTTTAGGGTGTCCTTTTAATTTTACCTCATTTTATTTTTAGACATATGGATTAATATTTCTACTATTATAATCACCCCATTAACCCCACCATTTTTCTCTCTCATCACTTTTTTCCAACAAAAAACTTAATAAAGTAACATTACATTATGAGGCAAAATATAAGGGATGGAGGGAGTATATCTTAGTCGTCGTAAATGTAGTGAGTGATTACTAGTGTAGTAGTGTGTTGTCTGGAGTGTGTCATGTTTTCCTTTCAAACTGGACGCGGCGCAAACTGACTCTTACCCTACGCTTCACGTGAACATTTTACACGCGTCCTTTTCTTCTTGCGTGCATGTCAATTTCTTCAATTAGTCGTCTTATTCTTTATTTTATTTTTTAATTTTATTTTATGCTATTTTTGTAGTTTTGTTGGAGTCGTATAGTTTTATTACCTTGGACTTAGATCCACATAATGGGAATTGTTAGACAGCAGACACGCAAGGGCTTAAAATCGGGTGGAGCCCACTATGTAATAGAACCGGCCGCCACATCTTTATCTTCCTCACTCTGCCCCCATTTTCCATCCCACCTTTTCACACGTGCTCCCTTCTTTTTTGTCTCCATCCCCCCCCCCCTTTTTTTAGTCTAATTTTCAATATACAAGTATTTTGATTGTATTATCTTGGTGTAATCCTTTTGGTTGTTAGGTTAAATGGGCCTAAGTCGCGCTCATTATCAAATCATATGGTAATAGGAGAGTAACCCCATATGATAATAGGAGAGTAACTTCATATTCAAAGTGTTTAACTTATTTTTTTTATTAATATAGTACAATTACATGTATGGTTTGAGAAGTATAATTAAATTGTTATACTTTGTATTAAATGATACAATATGATGTAACATTTATTACGAGATAAAAGAATATGAGGCATAATTCTTTTTGTTTGAATGAGGGTTAGTTGACTAAAGGTGAAATGATCGGTAATAAATTGAACTGAAATGAGCTAAATTAATAAATTAAGCTGAGATAAATTAAATTGAATCAAATTGAACTAACCTGAATAGAACTAAACCAAATTAAATGAATTTAAACTACACCAACAACTAAACTAAATTGAATAGAATTAATAATAAATCAAATTGAATGGAATTAAACTATACCAAATTGAACTAAATCGAATAGAATGAAACCAAATTGAATGAATTTAAATAACTCTAAACTGAATAAAATTGAATTGGATAGTAATAGTAGAGAATTTATCAAATTTGAAAATAAGAGAAATTAAAAAAGAATTGAGAATTAAATGGTAAAGTATAAATAAATTGAATATATTATAATACGCAGATATTTAATTAAAGATGGTTAATGAATTGTTTGGACTAGATTTTTATTCGAATTTAATCTGATTTGGTCAAATAATTTTATATATATATATAGATAGAAAATTATAATTTTTCAAGTCAATTTAATTTAAGGACAATCACTCGATATTAGTGTTGGTCGATTGAATAGGGTCAAATCAAGTTCCATTAGAGATACCATTAGAGATAATAAATGAAGAAAAAATGTTTTAACTATTTCTGGTTAAGGTTAGTTGTTTCTTGTTAGTTCCCTAATTGAGTACGACAAACTTTGAAAATGAACTTCTAATTGAGCGGTGTTTATTAAATAAAAAAAATATAGACAGAATAAATATTTTTTTAAAATAAAAACAGAAAAACTGACATAATTCCTTTCTAAGCCGGTCATAATACGACCAGGTAATGGTGCACAGCACGACCCAATGAGACCACCGCAGGCATTCGCTATTAAGTTACCACCACCTTTTTAAATTCAAATAAAAATATTTTATTAAAAAAAAAAGAGAGAAAAAAAACAAGAGTTTTTTTTTTTTTTTTTTTTTTGAAGCAATAAAAAACAAGAGCTGAGTTTGAAAATGTTGATTAATTTGGACGGTGAAGAGAACATGTGACAACAAAGTGTAAATCTAGGCACTATACACACGTCACTGCTTCTATAAATGCCAATTTTGCGCCTCTCTCTTTTTATGTTTTCCTCATTTTTACCGTTTCACCCTTCACCTTTAACGCTCCTCTTCTTGCGTAAATTTGTAATGTATTGTCTATTTCATTTCATAATAATTACAACATTTTCTTTTATGTACTTCATCTGTTTCGTATTAATTGTAACATTTTCTTTTACACCCGTTTTATTATAATTACAACACTATATTTGGAAAGAACTCACCATTATTTTAAAAATTCTCTCTCCCATTAACCCCACTTTCGCAAATATTTTACTCCATATTTCTCTTTCCTACCAACCCTACTTACACTACATTTTCATTATTTCTCTCTCCTACTAACAATACTTCATATTATAAACTCTTTTGGGCCTCCCCTTATAAATTTTCTTAACTTTTGTAAACACCCTAGTGTTGCGATTAATACAAAATGGCGGGAGTATGTTTTATAATAATTGCAACACTTCCTTATTTGGTAAGGATCCATTATTATTTTATTAATTATCACTCATACTAACCCCACTTTCACAAATTTTTTATTATTTCTCTCTCCAACTAACTCCACTTAGGCCCTGTTCATTTTACTTTTAAAAAATAATATTCAGTAAAAATAATTTCATTTTAGTAAAAATCAGTAAATGTAAAGAAGAAATATAATAAAGGGAAAACTATTCAATGGCTACAATAAATATGTAGTCATTGTAATTGTTTTCAATCTCAACCGTTAAAATTTTAAAGATAAATCTTGTTCATTTATTTGTTTGATTATATAAAATTGTAAGCAAGAAAAAAAAGGTTAATTGTTTTATTTTAAAAACAACTGTTTTTTTTTTTCTAAAAAAATAAATAATAAAAAAAAACCTTGTTTTTGTCGCCAAAACAAGCAGTTTCTCACTTTATCTGATCTACCCAACAAATCTCTCAATCACCATTGATTGTACAGCAGAAAATCAACAAGGTAGTATTTTCATCAAGAATAGGAATAGAAGATATTTTATCCTCCACAATTAACTACTCTATATCATCTTTCCCGCAAAGCAAAATATCACCCAACACCAATGGTAAACGATATACATCATACTAAAGTCGAAATTCGAAATCAAACGTATCAATGGAAAAAAGGATTGGGCAAAATACTTTTAGTTTTTTCTATAAAGCATCGATCAATCATTATTACTAATTTTATTTTATTTTTTTTAAAAAAAACCTACAATAATTTTTATTTATTGTATATAAAAAAAAATTTAAAAATTATTTAGTCAACTCTATGAATGGTTAATATTTAATACCAAAATTTAAAGGTTAAAATTGAAAGATTATAATGGCTACAATGTTATTGTAGCCATTGCAAATTGTCCTATAATAGAGATTCAGTAAAAATAATTTTAGTTCAGCAAAAATAATTTCAGTTCAGTAAAATTAATTTCAGTTTAGTAAAATAATTTAAATTCAGTAAAAATAATTTCAGTTCAGCAAAAATAAGGTGAAGTGAACGGAGCCTTACACTACAATTTTTTTATTATTATTATTTCTCTTTCATACCAATCCCACTTATTTGTTGAAGCCTACAAGCCTACTCTATATTTTTTAAAAACTATGTGCACTCCCTACCGTTGCGATTATTACGAAGCGAAAGGAGTATATATTATGCGTAACCTTCAAATGGTTGCTAACTTGCTACACATTATGTACAACAAGAACTTTGTTTCGTTTTTATAATGTCGTTTCTCTCTAACTATCCATCCACTCATCAGTCATCACATGCATTATTATTTTTCTTTCTCCATTCAACACTCAAAAACATACTTTGCCTAAGAGTATTTACAAGCGCATTTGTTGCACATAATATAAAGCAGATGTAGTAATTGAAATGTAACTACACTCATAATGGCCCAATTATTTTATATTCCATCATCATCTTTTTAATGATCACTTTATTTTCACTTATTTTATAAAATTTATTTTAGATAAATTCTAATAAGACAAGTTCAAATAAAGAAGTCGTAATGGTAAGTTCTGATAAAGGTTGATAATAAGCTCAATTTATCGTTTTTTTTTTTGAAAAAGTAAAAAAAAATATATTATAACTCAAAAAGCAAGTACACCAAGAAAACGCTGCAAAATGGCAGGCAACACCAGGACATTACCCCTCAGGAAACAGCACCCCTACCCACCTGAGACCCTACTTCCAACATAGCCTGTTAAACCAGTTGAAATTACTTCTACTGGTTTTAACAGGCATTACAAAACTAACTCTTTGAAAAATCACAAAGCATAAATTTCAAATTACAATTTCAGGCCTTGTAACACTACTCTCCCAAACCACTCTATTCCTTTGTTGCCAAATGTAGTATATCAATCCAGCAAAGAAACTTTGCATCACTCTTTTTTTAAACCTTCCTCTGATCTGCAGCAATTTGTCATTACAATCTTCAATATTTGCAGGATCCAACTGAATCTGCATGATCTTCTGCATCTGATCATAGCATTTCCTACTATACTGACAACTAAAGAATAAATGATCAATAGTTTCAGGCTCTAGATTACACATAGGGCAAAGATCATCACTAAGCACCCCCAATCTAGCAAGGTGTGACTTAACTTTGATCCTTCTCCACATAACCAGCCAACAAATAACTCTGTGCTTTGCAATGTTGAATCTGTTTCAGACCCATTCACTCCATGCTACACTCTGAGAACTTTGAGTAAGCCATTTATAGCCACTTGCTACTGTATAACCAGCAAGATTATGAGCTCATTGATTTCCTCTATAACCAGTCTTAAGCTTATCTTTCACTCACCAAATCTGTCTCCAATTCCAGCTACAATTAGCAGGACACTTGTATCTTTTCCAGCTTTTATTCTTCAAATACAGGATGTTAACCCATTTTAACCAAAGACTGTCCTTTTTTTTAGCTATATTCCACACTAACTTCCCAATGACAGCTATATTCCAGGCCTGAACATCGTGAATTCCCATACTACCCTGCTTCTTGCTCTTGCAAACATACTCCCAAGCAATAGAAGGAGCTTTTGAATAAGTTGCTTTCCCATCCCACAAGTAATTTCGACAAATAGCAACCACACCATTAATCACTAACTTAGGTAAAATAAAAATCGAGGCCTAATACACATGTAAAGACATCATAATAGAGTTTACCAGAATAGCCCTACCAGCATAAGACAGCTTCTTGCAACCCCAATTTCTGATTCTCCCAGTGATCTTGTCTATTAAGTACTAGCAGTCATCTTTTGACAACTTTTTGGAGCTAACTTAACCCCTAAGTATCTAAAAGGTAACTGACCTTCTACAAAGCCAGAACTTCTGATAATATCTTCCTTATCCTCATTGCTAACATTACAAAAGTACATGTTAGACTTACCCTCATTAGCCACCAGAAGCAAAAGTAGCCAAACTTCTCAAGATCAGATTTACAGAGCTTTTATCACGTTTACTAAAGATGATAAGATCATCTGCAAAAACAAGATGATTAAGCTTCAAGGCTTTGCATTTATGATGAAACTTAACTCAGGAAGCTACCTAATCTGTCCTAAAAATTTTGAGAGATATTCCATGCAGAGCACAAAGAGAAGAGGAGAAGACATGGAATCACCTTGTCTCAATCATCTCTTCCCTTGAAAAAAACCAGATAATGACCCATTAATACTAATTGTATAAGAAGGGGTAGTAACACAAGCCATGATCAGCTGAATAAACTTTGCAGGGAAGTTCAAGGCTGTCAACATCTCCAATAGAAAATCCCATTTTACAGAATCATATGCCTTTCTAATGTCAACCTTCAATAGGCAACCCTTAGGAGCATTCTTTCTTCCATAATTTGAGACCAAGTCCTGCACTATACTTATATTCTGCACAATTTGCCTTCCCTCCACAAAACCAGCCTGATTTTGGGAAACCAAGTCAGGGAGAACTAATTTCAGTCTTGAGCAAAGTATTTTAGTAATATACTTGTAAATGACATTGCAACAAGCTATAGGCCTAAACTTTGTCACTAAAGTAGGGTGATCCACTTTTGGAACCAAAGTTAAGGTGGTGTTATTAATTTCTCTCAGAAGTTGTCCATTCTCCACGAATTGCAGCACTGCATTTCACTTCTTCAACTATTATTCCCCAAGCACTCTTGAAAAAAGTACTATTATAACCATCAGGTCCTAGTGCTTGATCAACTGGGATGGAAAACATAGCTTTTTTCACATCTTCCCTTGAAAAGGAGCACAAAGCATCTGATCTTGCTCATCACTTAGCACAAAACCTTGCCTCACAATCTCTTGCTGAGCTGGCACTCTATCACCCAAATCTACACCAAGCAACTTCTTATAATAGTTCACAAAAGCATCAGAGATTTGGTTTGGAGTATCACACCAAACCCCATCACAATCCTTAATAGCAATCACAGATTTCTTAAACTTCCTCATCTGTAGTGATCTATGAAAGTAAGCTGAATTCTCATCACCAATTTGCAGCCATTTTATCTTAGCTTTCTGACTAAGAAAAGAAAAATAGCTCTCGTTAACCTTCTGAAACTCTTTCAAAGTGTTTGATTCAAGCTCTCTCAAACTGTCATCATTATAATTCTGGTGAACCTTAAGCTGAATCTCATTCAAATCCCTCTTTAGGTTCATGAATTGAGCTTCAATATCAATAAAGTCAGCTATATGCAAAGCTTTTAGCTCAGTCTTTAACAACTTCAGCTTCTTCACAACTTTATACATCTTCACACCATACAGGTTAGTGCACCACACCTGATTTATCACCTGCTCAAAAAGAGGGTGTTTAACCCACATGTTAAGGAACTTAAAAGACCCTTTCCCATTCTGCTTACTTCTGTCCAAGTGAATCATATCAGGACTGTGATCAAACTAGTTCTCAGGTAAGTAATGAACAAACAAATTAGGAAATATCAGAGCCCATTCTTCATTCACCAAAGCTCTGTCAATCGTAGAGTACACTCTACTAATGCCCTGCTGCTTATTGTTCCAAGTATATCTAAATCCAGTCTGAACCAGATCACTCACATTGTAAACTTGAGTACACTTCCTAAAAGGGTCAATCTTATTAAAGCTGACCTACCTACCTATTTTGTCATCAAAATTCAAGGGACATTTAAAGTCTCTAGCTATTAACCAAGCATCATTAATGCCATTACCAATTTTGACCAAACCAGCCCACAACTCTTCTCTACCAGCACTATCATTTACCCCATAAACAAAAGTGTAGAAAAAACTTTTATTCTGACCAACATTTTTCACATTCAGATGAATAAACTGAGGTTTGATTTCTAACACTTGAACCTGAAAGAAATAAGAAAGCTAAGCAACCAAAATTCTTCCCCCTTCCACCTGCACAAAATTTGTACTCATACACCAGCCCCGAAACAAATTATTCTAACAATAGAAAAATTTGCTCGTCTTATTTTAGTCTCTACTAAACAAGCCAAACCTATTTTCTGCTCTAAAAGGAAATTCTTAATTTCCTTCTGTTTTGTGAGGCTATTAAGACCCCTCACATTCCAGCAAAGAACACTATCCATTGGATAGTATAGCTTGTCCCACACCCAGGATACCCATATTTATCCCTTCCCCAAACTCCAACCCATCTGCATTTTACAACCCATCAAAAGCATTCCCAGTTCACACTCCTGACACAACATCTCTCACAGCTCCATCTTTACCACCATCAACCTTCTTCTTCTTTCTACTACAAGCCACTTCCTACCCCTTTTCATGACCCATGTTATCCCGCTCAGTCTGAATAGGCTGAACAGTATGATCTTATTTTGAATTTCTTTTGGTCTCCATTCTTTCCTCACATTCTTGCAATCTTCAGCCAAATGACCCACCTGTTTCCACAAATTGCATTTAACAGGTTTCCATTCAAATACCACTTTCTGCCTAACCAACCCACCAGTCTCAGAAATGAATTCAATCATCTCAGTGAAATCTCCATCTATTTTAACTTCAACTAAGAACCTTGCATATAACACCTTCTCTTTCAATTGTGTTGCTGAATCAGGTCTAATTGGTGTACCAATCAGAGAAAAAAAAAATGTCAAGACAAGCTTTCCCCCAATACTTCAATGGCAGCTCAGGCAATTGAACCCACACAGGAATCTTAGTGAATTCAGTTGTACTTAGTTTCATTCCATCCTCCCATTGTTTCAAAAACACAGGTCTATTATCAAACAAAATATGAGATGCATGCAGAGCTTTTTCTTTAGAATCAACATTCAAGAACCTAATTAGAAACACCCCTTTCCTAAACGCAATGATTTTATCAATGTTTTTCTCCCCCCAAATCCGTTTACAGTACCTAGAAAAAGTACCCTGAAATGGATTAGCACCAATAACAAAAGCTATAACACCCAGATTCCAATATGCAATTTCATCTTAAACATCCTCATTAAACAATTGCAAAAGAGGCTTATCCAAAACCCTAATTGATTTATGAGAACATACCTCATCTCGCAATCCCCTATTTTCAGCGTCCTCTGTTTTCGGGTTCATCGCAGCAACACCCTCTTTGAATTTCAGCGCATTTAGCCATTCTGACAACTTAGATTTTGTTCGAGACCCATGAATCAGTTCTTGGATCGATTGCTCCGAAGTAAGAATCAAATCATCCAAATTATCCAGAATCCCAAAATCACCCCATCATCAATTTCGCACTAGAAACCTGAACTTCCTTCATCCCATCATCAATTCGAGCTTTCAAATTACGTCCCTCCCCTCTAATCGGCTCCTTCCTAGCTTTCTTCTTTGCCATGGTAGAGGAAGAAAATTTTAGAGAGAGAGAATAATTTTTTTTTTGAAACACAATTTATCGTTAAATTAAGTTCTAAATAAGTTCAAATAAAATTAGAGAAATTCAAGTAAGTAAAAGCTTGGTGAATTGAACACACCTAAATCATGTTTTCACCCCCATTTTTGTTCATAGTAGTACAAAATTTTTAAAATAATTTCAAATACATGTTAATGGTTCATATATTCAATAATTTCAGGTAATATAAGTTCATTAGGCCCATATTTCTAATAGACCCGTAAAATAAAGGGCTGCCACCAATAAGACCTAGACATCAAGACAAGAGAAAGGAGAATCAAACCAATGGCTTGATTGGTACAAATAAGGCAACGAAATCAATCAACAAACCAATAAGGCAATCACACCAAAAATACAAGGCAGCAAGAAGGAAAGAAGAATCAACTATGAAGACCTTCCCCTTTCGAATATATTCTGTAAATATATGTAAACCCTAGCAACCCCTAGGTATAAATAGCTAAGAACATATGTACAGCAACATTCATACTCTAATACTCGAATATATTAGTAAGTCACTTAATAACACTCAGGTCTTTTCTGATCAAGGAAGCTATCCTTACTCAGTATTGTCATTCTTACTCTTATTTCTTTATTGAAAGGTTAGCTCTTATTCGTATTATTGTTCTTTGTTATTTTGATTGTTATTGCAGGATCTATTATGTAATACCCCTCATGATTGCTTTAAAATGATTTAATATACCACTCATACCAACAACGTGCATCTTCCTTTTAGGGAGCTCATATGCTAAGATACTTCTCAATTAAGCGTGCTTGGCTGGGAGTAGTCTTAGGATGGGTGACCTCCTGGGAAGTTTTCCCGGGGTGCGCATGAGTGAGGACAAAATGCGCCGGAAGGACTTGTGTTGGTCAGTGGGGACAATTGTTGGCCCTTGATGCGCATTTCGTGACTATAGGCCCCTCCCTAATTTGTTTGGGGTCGAGGTGTTACAGATTATTAATACCCCTAAAACCTTAAGCAAATTCCTAGAAACCACCCCTCTAAGATTTGTCCTAAACAATTTGGTGCCCACCGTGGGGCTGATAATCAGTTAACCTGCCAAAAACTCTCGAAAAATACCACAAAGAGAATCTCACAATCATGACTAGACACCTAGTACCCTTCATCATAGCTGAGATAAGTGAAGGAATGAATGAATTCCGCCAAACCTTAGATCAACAGAAAAGCCAAATCGAAACCTTGTTGGCCCAAAAAGTCCAAACTGAGGCCAAACTTACTAGTTTAACCAAACAAAATGAAGCCCTTCATAGCTAAATACATTTGGTTTCATCCAAAACAGCCAATACCAGAAAAAACACCAATGGCATAGCCATGCAACTTGACCTATCAGGAGCTTTCCATACCCCAGGCAACGGGGAAAAAGGTTCTAACCATAGGGAGATTTCCCTGGATGAAGATTTTATTGATGTAGGTACTTTTCAGAAAAGTAAGCAAGCAGGTTCTGAGGAGAGAGATAGAAAAAGTGGTCGAGGAATACCTCAAGGCTTTCGAGGCAAAGATCGCGAAAATTCCTGGAGTGCCAAAGCCAATGGAGGAAGAGGTTGTCGATGGCTACATAGAGTCGCCCTTCTCAGAAGAGCGTTATGGTTGAAGTGCCAAAGAGGTTTACTACACCTTACATGGCCATGTACGACGGCACAACAGACCTTGATGAGCACGTGTCCCTCTACAAACAAAAAATGATGACCAGTTCCATCCCTAGAGACATCAGAGAAGCAATTATGCGCAAAGGCTTTGGAGCCATACTGTCAAGTCCAGCCCTAACTTGGTTTATTAATTTGGATAATGGGACTATTCGATCTTTTATAGGAATGGTCAACCTATTCAAGATCTAGTTTACTAGCAGCAGAAAGATCGAGAAGCAATCTTCAGATCTGTACAGAGTAGTGCAAAGGCATGGTGAATTCTTGAGAGACTACCTAAACAACTTTAATAGGGAGAAGATCGAAATACACAAATGCGATGCTCCCACAACCATTGAAGCTTTCAGAAGAGGACAACTGGACCACAGTTAACTCTATAAGGAGTTGATCAAGTATCACTGCACAACCTTTGAAGATGTTCAAGCTAAAGCAATGGCTCAAGTCAGATTTGAAGAGGAAGTTTATGCACGAAAGACTCCAGAACCAGATCGTTCATCAAGAAGGAGTAACAACTTCGCGAGAAGGAATCATAGATTCAAGCCTTATCAGCAGTCCCGCTTTGAGGAAGGAACAATCAACGTTGTTGAAGGAGAATTCACAGATTAGAGGGAAGATCTTGAACTCCCTCCTAAATTGCATAAATATTGTTTCAATGTTAACCCTGCAGGTGTGGTTAGGACCCTGAATAAAATAGGAGACACTATGCAATGGCCCAGTAAGAGTGACAGGCCAGAAGAAAAGAAAGATCCATCGAGGTGGTGTGATTTCCATTCAAATATAAGTTACACTACTGATGAATGCGTGGCGCTCAGAAAGGAGGTCGCTTACCTACAGAAGAAAGATACCTTAAGGAACTCATGATGGACAAGTCCAAAGCTTTAGGTAGAGAAAAATAATCCAATCAAGGAGGACCACCTCCAATCATCAAAACCATCAATTTCATCTCCGGAGGATCAGAAGTGTGCGGTTTGACAAACTCAGTAGCAAAGCGTCACGCCAAAGAAAGTAACATGATCAAGCCAACCAAGAGGGTACAAGCAAAGCTAGATGTCCCGATAGTGTTTGAATAAAGTGATGCAATGGAAGAGCACCATGATGGCCTAGTAATATCACTCCCAGTTGGATATTATCTTATCAAGAGGATCCTAGTTGACAATGGAAGTTCTGCCAACATCATCGTGCTCGATATAGTGAAACATATGAACATTGAAGAGAAAGACATCATCAACAAGTCAACAATGCTGGTCGGATTCAGTGGAGAAACTAAGAAAACCATTGGGGAGATTAAACTGCCCACCTATGTAAAAGGGATCAATTTGCAGGTGAAATTCTTAGTGATCGATACTCTATCGTCCTACAACATTATTATAGGAAGACCTTGGATACATGAAATGAAAGCCATTCCGTCTACATATCATCAAATCATCAAATTTTCCACCAAATGGGGAATCCAAGAAATCAAGGGGGACCCAAAAGAAGCCAAAGAATGCTACAAGATAGCCTTGAAAGCAACATTTGCAGAGAAGGAGTCAGCATAGCAATCAAAGATTCAGTTGGGCCAAGAAAAGATCAATATAGTAGAAGAGTAAGAATCAATTGGGGTTCAGCTGAATCTAGATCACCCTAATCAGAAAGTAAGAATAGGAGCAGAGTTGAGCAAAGGTCTAAGTAAACAAGTCCTAGAATTCTTGGAGGCTGAGAAAGATGCATTCGCATGGACACATGAAGACATGAAAGGAATCCTTCATGGATGCACACAACGGGTATAATCAGATCCTCATGCATAAGGACGACCAAGAAAAGACAGCATTCATAACCAGTCAAGGAATCTACTGCTACAAGGTAATGCCATTCGGATCGAAGAACGCTGGAGCAACATACCAAAGATTGGTCAATAAGATGTTCGAAAAGAAAATTGGGAATACAATGGAAGTATACATAGACGACATGGTGGTGAAATCCAAGAAAGCCGCAGATCACGTCAAAGATCTCAAAGAGGCCTTTTTCATCTTGAAGCAGTACGACATGAAGTTGAATCCTACAAAGTGTACATTCGAAGTCCATTTAGGAAAGCTCTTAGGTTACATGGTAACACAGCGAGGAATAGAAGCTAGCCAGAACAAGTAAAAGCCATACTCGACTTAGAACGACCAAAATCTAAGAAGGACATACAAAGCCTTACTGGAAGAATAGCAGCACTGAACAAGTTCATCTCCAAGTCATCAGATAAGAACAAGGTGTTCAATGACGTGCTGAAGAAGAACAAGGAGTTCTAATGGGAACAAGAACACGAAGATGCATTCCAGAAGCTAAAGGAATATCTAGCAAATCCGTTGGTGCTTTCCAAGCCTAAAGAAGGAGAGTCCCTTCAACTATACTTAGAAGAATCAGAAGGGACAATCAGTGCCGTCCTCACCAGAGAAGAAGATAAGGAGCAATTTCCAATCTATTACGTAAGTAAAACCTTACTCAGTGCGGAAACCAAGTACACTTCTTTAGAAAAAATCATTTTAGCCTTTGTTACTGCTTCAATTAAGTTACGCCCATACTTTAAAGTCATGTTAAATGTGTGCATACTAATTACCCCATAAAGGCTATTATGAGAAAATCAGAAATTTCAAGAAGGATGGAAAAATGGATGATCCATCTTAGTAAGTATGACATTCAGTACGAACACAAAACTGCAATCAAATCCCAAGCCTTGGCAGATTTTTTGGCGAATTTCAATCTAGCCCTCGAACAAGAAGCACAAAAAGAAGTGCTATCCCTGCAAGAGCCTAAAGCTGCACAAAAATAGAGGCTCCACATAGATGGTGCAACAAACATTCAAGGAGTAGGTATGGGAATAGTGCTAACATCCCCCCTAGGAGACAAAATTGCTCAAGCAGTAAGATGCAAATTTAAGGCTACCAATAATGAGGCAGAATACGAAGCACCAATCACAGGGCTGACCGTTGCCAAGGACATGAAGATAAAAAACCTAGAGGTAATATCTGATTCTCTGCTCATTGTCAATCAAATTAACGGGTGAGTATGCGACAAAAGATACCAAGATGATTGTATATATAGAGGTAGTGAGAAACCTCATAAAAGAGTTTGAAGAATTCAAGATTGCACAAGTACCCAGGAATGTGAACACCGAGGCAGACGCACTAGCCAACCTCGGATCCAACATCAATCCTGATAAGTTCGGAGTAATACCATTGGTACATATCATGTCCCCAGCAATAGAGAAAGAGTCAGCCATCTACGAAATTCAAGCAAACCCTATTGACGAAGAAGACAGTTGGACCAAGCCCTTCAAGGATTTCTTTACTAACAAAGTAACACCAAAAGGAAAAGTGGTTGCACACGCTTTCACTATGAAAGCATCCAAGTACTTCCTTATCAGCAACGTACTCTTCAAATAATCAACAGTTGGTCCATACCTAAGGTGCCTAGAAAAGCAAGAAGTGCAACGGGTCCTACAATCTCTACACAGCGGGGAATGCGGAAATCATTCAGGATGGAGAAACTTAGCCAATAGAGCGCTCAGAATGGAATATTTCTGGCCCAGTATGAGGAAGGATGCAGCAGAATTCACCAGGGTGTCCGGCATGTTAGAAACATGCACCATTGACTCACCAACCATCCGAGGAACTGGATCCAACACTAACACCATGGCCATTCATGAAGTGGGGAATGAACATAGTCAAGTTGCCACCTTCATCAGGGTAGAGAGTATACTTCTTGGCAATGACGGATTACTTCTCAAAATGGATAGAAACCGAAGCATACAAAGACATTAAAGACAAACACGTCATCTCATTTATCAAGAGAAACCTACTGTGCAGGTTCAGTGTACCCTCAGAAATCATTACTGATAATGGATCCCAATTCATCAGCAAAAAGACAATAAAATTTTGCGAAGAATGGAACATATCACTTATCACATCCACACCAAGGTACCCTCAAGTAAACGGACAAGCAAAGTCAAGCAACAAAGTTCTCATCAACAATATGAATAAAAGGTTAGAAGGTGCCAAGGGGAAATGGGCTTACGAGCTACCATCCATACTGTGGGTAGATAGAACAACACCAAAAGGCGCTACAGGACACACCCCCTTTTCACTAGTATACGACTGTGAAGCAGTGATCCTTACTGAAGTCGAAGTCCCAACTGTAAGGTATGGCCTGATGACTGAAGACAGAAACCAATCCAAGATGACATACAACCTAGACACTGTTAAAGAGATAAGAGATGATGCCAAGATGAGAATGACAGCCTATCAACAAGAAGTTGCAAGAAGTTTCAACAAAAACAAGAAGGTCAAAGTCTTCTGGTAGGCGTGTCGCGTACCTATCAAAAATAACCTAACAGACCAATACTAATGTAGACTGGCAAGTAAGGGTCGGATCCCAAGAGACTAAGGTTCAGAAACAATTAATTAGACTCAAATCTTTACTAAGCAAAAATCAAGTATAATCGATAACTAAGGGTCTAAAATATAGGAAAAATTCAAAAATAAACTAATTAAGATGATTAAATCAATTCGAAAATAAACTAATTAAGATGATTAAATCAAGCAATTAAAAAATCCAAGATCTAGCTTCACCACAACTATTATTGATGCAATTGTAATTCTACCCTTAACATACGATTTCAATTGAACGGGGAAAAGTAAACCCTAATAATTACCAAGGATCTCTCTCGAGTATCAATGGCTTCCCTAACATACAATCAATCCTATTCTCATGGTATCATGCATATTAAAGACATTAAACACATTACTCTCACTTCCCAATTATCAAACCCAACTACTCTCGTGTTGAGAATCAAACCCTAAATTGATTTACTCAAATCCGTTTATACCCAACTCTCGCTGTGATAAAAACAATGGAATAATCGCAATACTATAGTTACGTATAACCTAGCATTGGCATAATCACAATCAATTTAGCAATTCAATTGTTAAGGTTGTTAAAGAATTTAAAGATTTAATTCATGCATCAATAATATTTGGGCTACACTAGATCTTGAATTAAGGAATCTACTCACACATGATTAAAGAAACAAAAGCAAAAATAAATAATGAAAACATAATTAAATAACAAAGGATGAAAAATAAATACCAAATCTTGAATAAAATTGAAAGTAGAAACCTTGAATCTTGAATCTTGAATTACAAAACTTAGAAAAGTAGATGAAGAACTAGTTCTTAATGAGAGAATAAAAATAATATAAGGCTTAATGAATAATCAAGAAAAACAAGGCTAAAAAGTATTTATATGAGCCTAAAAAGATAAGAAAAACGGCTAAGCCTTGGCGCACAAGAATCCCAAGAGGCACGGACGTGCCTCTTTACATAGCAAAATTGCTGCAGTTTCTGTCTTCCAGGCACGGACGTGCCTGATGCTGGGCACGGACGTGCCTCTTCTGCTAGGCACGGACGTGCCTAGGGTCTTCCTTTGGCGCAGCTTCTGGCGCAGAGGCACGGACGTGCCTAATGGGGAGGCACGACCGTGCCTACCTCTAAAATGCCATTTTCTTGACTTTTCTTCAATCTCCAAACTCCATGGGCTTTGACTTACTTCGTGGATCTATAATTCATCCAAATTAGCTCCATTATTCCTGAAAATCATCAAAAACAACAAAACTACCCATAAAAGCATCGGATTATCCAAAGTAGAGCAAAATACGCCAAAACGGACTCAAATACTCAACTAAACTAAAAAAACTAACTAAAAACCAACCAAATAATATACACAAAATACGACTTATCATCTTCAAAATAGGAGATTGGGTGCTCTGGAAAGTATACGAAAACACCAAAGAAGTAAATGTGGGAACGCTGGCACCAAACTGGGAAGGGCCATATGAGATCACAAAGGTAGTAGGCAACAGGGCATACATACTAAGGAATATGGAAGGGAAGGATGTAATACCTTGGAAATTTCCTTCATTTAAAAACACTCCTTTTACTCAAAAATAAAACCCTTTTTAGGAAATAACCAAAATATTACCGCCACCGTGATAACAGCTAAGGCAAATTTTCAAAGTCACACAGCGGAAGTCTAAAAAACAAAAACCAACTTTTAAAAATAAAACTTGAGTTCACAACCTCAAAACAAATGTAGAATAAAACATTCACAAGTTGGAACCAATTCAAACATGACCCTTCTTAAAAACCAATTAAAACAAACATAATATTGTTAGTCCATAAATAATAACCAATAATTCAAAATAATAAACTAAGGAACATAACAAGTAACTCTCTGCACTCTATCCCATCATGCTCTTCATGCCTCAAGTACCTGTTACTTCCCCTTTATTCAACCCTCTACTCACCATATAAATGGGTCATAGTAGGCCAATCCAAAGGAAAGCCAAATACAAACACAAAAGTACGAATCAGCAAAGCTGAGTACATATGCACCACACTAATATGAATACCTAGCATCAAAATAAAATATTTAAAACATGCTCGTCATACAATCACAAGTCAACTTATCTTTGACTCATAACTAGCATATATTATTATTAATAATAATTTTGGAT